TTCTTCTCCATGATCTTTCCAAAGTAATCATTACCAACGGAGCCTACAAAGGTGGTCACCTGGTTGTTCTTTCCCACAACCCACTGGCAAAAACGCATAGTATTCTGCGTGGCACCGCCAGCAGAATACTCAATCTCAAACTTATTGATCACCTCATCGTACATTGTCTCGTGCTTGGCCTCGGCGAGAATAGCCGAGTTCTTGGGAAGGCCGTATCTGAAGATCAAGCAAACAATCTTGTTTAGCTATTACCTTTCAAATAATTACTCATAACTCACTTCTCCAAAAACGAATCTTCTACTTTGGCTGTGATGTCTAGCAGAGGATTTCCAAGACCAAAGATGTGCATTTCTCTGCAAAATAAATGCACGACATTATTTTTATATGTCTTTGTAATGATTCTCCGTCAGCCAAATTTTTAAATCGTGACAAAAATGCAAAACAATCGTTTTGCATTTTAAAACTTGGCTCAAATATGTACAAAACATTAAAACACTTGAGAAAACTAGTCATCATCAATTACTACCACTTTTCGATGATATTATGCTTCATTTAAAAGCATTATTATTCAGTGCCACTCAACTATTCAAACAAGATACGTGAAATAATTATTTATTTGCACATTTTTGTACAAAAAATAAATTATTTTACTGCACAAGTTATCAATCTGGCTGGTTTTTCAAACAAATATTTTTTAAATTTTTAAAGTTTTTGGTAGTATTGCGTAATAAATTATTTGTAAAAATATTTGTAAAACGTTTAAAAACAAATACCGTAATTCACTTACTTAATGTCAAACTTAACCGCCATTTTGCTGATGCTTCAATTTATGATTAACTTTTTTAGATGAAAAAGATTNAAAAATGGTATGTCTGGAGAAGAAAAAACTCTGCTTCTGAAAAAAAGATGTTTCGAGTTTTGTATGCTATAAGCCAGACATCGACACCATTAGACACGTTTCCTGTTTTCAGCATGTAATCGATGAGATGGCACAAAAATGTAGTAATCAGAAGAAAACGAGCAAAGGTCAAAGGGGGTGGAATTTAAAAGAAAACAAAAAATTATAAACTTTAGTTTTAAGTTTT